TTTCTTCACTCTTCTTTGCTCCAGACAAGGAAAGACCAATAGTAGCTACTTAGATGGCCACTTGAAAGCTTTTAAGACCCCAGTTGCTACTCCACAAAGAAAGATGTAGCACACTGTGTTTGTGGACTGTTATGCCAGTTGACCTAGATGAGGACATTCTTTTTAAGAGGTTTGTAAATATATGGACTTCTATAGCCTAAGAGTTGCATTATTACAGCCTGATCAGAAGAATTTGGGATGCTGTATTTGACACATGGTCTGATAATTTGTTAAACGATTCTCTTCAGATATAGAAACGATATATGTGGCAAAGATATGAGTTGTTTTCCTATGGTTTCAACTGCCCAAAGTCCCAAGAGAAGAAAGTTGAGGGAGGGGAGAAGAGTGCTCAATCTGGCAGATGGAATCGATGTAATGAAATTATGTTCTGTGGAGAGACTTGTGCCATAATTTGAAAGTCACTGTTATGCATATTCACGCCATCCTTTGACAATGCAAGTATCTTTAAAATCCAATGTGTGACCCACGTTCATCATAGCACTATTTACAATAGCAAAAAGATGGAAACAACCTAAGTGCCCAGCAGTGGATAAATGGATAAACAAACTATGGTACATATACAATGGAATACTGTGTGAAGTTTAATGCGATGCTAAAGAATAACAATAAATCTGTAGACACCTCATAACACGCATGAACCTAGAGAACATTATGCTGAGTGAAATTAGTCAATCACAAAAGGAGAAATATCATATGATACCACTACTACAGAAAGTCAAAGAAAGATTTATACACAGAAAGAAACATTTTTTGAAGGTCACCAGGGGTGGGAGGGGAAAGGAGGGATAATCACCAAGTAGAGGGTAGAGTATTAACCTGGGTGAAGGGAGAGGCAATGTACAATAAGGAGGAAGTCAGCACAAAATGATCAAGGCAAAGGAAGGCACTGGGAAGAGCACAAGAGTTAAAGGCAACAAATGTAAAGGCTTTTACATACACAATCCTGCAATAACGACAATAATCTATGAGTGGATACATAGCTAGACACTCAAACTGAACAAATGGGACTACATGCATGAATATATATATATGGGTTTAAATGAGGAATATTTCTACCTATGTATTTACATGTACTGCAAATATATTTATGAATATTGCAGAGCATACAGGGGACAAGGTTATGAAAACTTCTGAGCCATAACCAAACACCTTGAGAGAATGACTCAGGACCACAGTCTCAGGGGACAACAAGGTCAATTGGCTTAACAAAGCCCACAAAAACAATGTTCTACCTCCTACTTTGGTGAGAAGAGAATGGGGTCTTAAAAGCTTGTGAGCGGCCATCTAAGGTACAACCTTTGGTCTCTCCCAATCTAAAGAAAAGCAAAGATCAAAGATACAAGGAAACAATCAGTACAAAGGACTAATGGAGCACATGAACTCCAGCTTCCCCAACCCTGAGACCAGAAGAACTAGATGGTGCCCGGCTACCACTGCTGACCGCTCTGAAAGAGATCACAATAGGAGGTACCAGAGAGAGGGGAGAGAAATGGGAAATGAAACTCAAAATCATAAAAAAAAAAAAAAAAAAGGACAGGCCTATGAGGTGAACAGTAACACCAGGGAGGTATGCACTCCTTAGAACAATAAACATAGGAGATCAAAAGGGCAGCATATACCCAGGGCTAAAGCTCAGAAGGCAGGAAGGGATAGGAAAGGAAAATGGCTATTGCAGGGAGGAAGTGGGAAGAGTACTGTTACATTGTGGGGAGTGCAATCAGTGTCATGAAACAAAACGTGTATGAATTTTTGAATGGCAAACCAATTTGCTCTGTAAACCTTCACCCAAATCAATATAAAAAGTTTTTTTTAATCCAGTATATGAGACGCAAGACAAAAGACTATTTCATAAAATTATTGTCTTCTGATGTGTCTTACCTATATACTCATGTTTTCCTAAGGTATGAACAATACGTTAGCCAAGAAAATAAAGGAAATATGTATATTTATTTTATATTTTGTGTTGGTTTAACATGTGTTTTAAATTATAATAAAGAACTAATGTGGAGAGTCAAAATCCCAGGTCCAATCCCAATACTCTTCATGCATTAGAAAAGAGCATCAAATAAAAGATCCTCCCCACCCTGATCTTTTGAGTTTGCTTTCCAATCAATAGTTTTTCTCTTTATTACTAGGCAGTGGCTGCCTGGAGTGTCCTGTGAAAAATGATTCCAAGGCCACCTCCAGCACGGCTAGACAGAGCAATCAAAAGGAGAAAAGGAGGGAAAATGCACAGACATTTTATGCTGGTTATTCAAAATGCACTTTTTATTCACTTTAACAGAGATGATTTTGAACAGTTGAAACAAAAATATATGATACAGAAGTTTGAGATTTTTAGCAGCACCTGCAACAAGAGGATTGTGGAATACCTCAGGATAAAGAAGAGATGGCTGAGGCAGGCACAAATTAACCTGAAAATCATCAATCCACTGAAGAATCATGGAATCTGAGGCCCCCTGAATTAACAATACATGAAAATAAATACCTATGCTGCATGATGTTTTAATGGATGATTGAAAAACTCAATATTTAGTTCTAAATAGAAATATGTTATTCAAAAAATCTAGTGCTCATTTAAAAAAAAAACACCCACTGAAAACATTGCACTGCACATTCTAAGGTACACAGTCAATTCTAAACCTTTATGCACAGTTCCTGGTGCTCACAGATTTCAGCCTTTGGTGTTTTTTAATCTTACCCAAACTATATGTCAGCACCCCACTGAGTGTTACTCACCAGAATGCCACTATTTTTGTCACTTAATGTTAAGTGCTTTAATGGAAATATTATGTAGTGATTTGGCAGACAAAAAATGTGGTATGGCTAAGAGGGAAGGGGCTTCAGTTGACCTGCCAATAGATTAACACTTGCCTTGGGTGGATGGGAGGCCTATGAATGGGATACCCTTGGATTTTGTACTTAAATGACCACATGCCACTCTAATAGAGACAAGTACTTTTGTGAGTTGATGGAGATCTTTATAAAGACCTGAGATCTACAAATAGGAACTATTATAAGCAGAGTGCAAGTAGAAAGAGAAGGCCTCAGGTCTCATGCTCTTAAAAACAACTAGCATTTAACAGTTCTGACTACAGCAATGTACAGATTTTCACCATAACATGATTGTAGCAAAATGATCATAGAACTTGGAAACCAGTGTGGCTGGCTATAGGCATAGGCAGAATGGGGACCTATTCTTAAGAGCTGTGGGGTCCCAGGTCTGGCTTTGACTTCTGGCATCAAAGTTAATTGGACAATAGGATCAGAACTGTATCTGAGTTGGAAATATTAGGTATCACTAGGTTGAAATACCTTCTTCCACTTGTCTATGTAGCCAAAGAGTCCCATAGCTCTTAAAGCACATAAGGTCCCATATGTAAGGCTGATTCCATATGTGGCTACAATGGAGAGTTCTAGGCTGTATTCCTATAAAAGGCCCCACCCCCTCCCTGGCCTAGGTCTCTTTTGGGGGTCATTTCTAGTTGTCCCAGACTACCTTGGGTTACTATTTTTTATCGTAGATGTTATAAAGTACAGATTAAGAGCTATGCAGGAAAAATATCCACCAACAGAAACTAGACTGCATATTCCTAATGCAGTATGTAACTGGCAGTCGTGGTAATCAAAAACTGACAAAACATTTATGCATTTGAACATGTTATCGTTAGGATGTTTACATCAGGGCATGTAGGACTTACTCAGAGCTCAAGAATTTTTCCTGCCACAGGGCAAAAGCAAAAGGAGTAACTGCAATTGCTGGTAAAGGCTAATCACAGAATAGAGTGAGAATTTTTAAAGTCCCTCTCTATAGTCTTAGTTGTTATCATAATATAAATCAAATTATAACTTGGCACTGAAATGTAATTTATAGATTCATAGAACTTAGAGCTAGAAGGGATCTTAGACCAAACATCTAACCAGAACAGAAATTCTTTTTTTGGCATTTTAACAGATGGTCATCCAACATCTTCTTGAATATTCCCAATGGAGGGAAGCTCATGATTAAGGCAGTCCATTCCACTGTTGGGCAACTGTAATTATGAGAAAGTTCATTCTAACACCGGGTTAAAGTCTGCTCCCTTGTGACTTTTAGTTGACCTAATTTGGCTTGCTGAACATATAGTGCAACATACAAGAAAGCCGTTTCTCCTTCTACAGTAAATAATTCAAGTTAAGGAAACTTGTGAAAAAAGCCCACTATCCCCCAATATTTTCTGAAGCCTTCTCTGTGAGCCCAGCATGGTGGTCCAAAGGACCATCTAAATTATGAGCAGAGAGCACTGCACCCAAAGCCATATACTAAGCTGCATTGCTAAATTGATGAGGTTGTCAGAGAAGCAACATCCCTAACGCGGCAAAAGTAGACTTAGGAAGTAAAAGCCGACCAACCATTTATTTGCAAGAGTGGTTGGCATATTTAAGCATAATTCATTCACTAGTACCCTGTCACGTCAAACACAAGGAGTATATTGAGTGTCTAGTGTCATTAGTGTATCTCTTATTGAGGTGGCATTTTTTGAAAAGCTCCAAGAGGGAGCAAACACTACATAAGGATTTAAACAAGGCAGTGTACGTTATTATCCTTCTGCATTCCTAATCATTACAGCCTCTTCACAATTCAAGCTTAGGACATCCTTGTTTGCATTAGCATTTTTTTACTGTAATACAGCTCTGAGTCTTTTTTTTTTTTTTTCTCCCTTTGGCAGAAATGTCAGAAACTGCTTGGCAAGAGTCTGATGGAACACTTTAAAGGATGGCTGTAGCTCTTTAACTCCTTCATGCAGCTGGGTTCTAGGTTTACACTGTGATTTGAAAAATATTTAAATCTCTCAGGACAAAAGCTTTCTGAAATGTCCTGATACACACAAGAAAGAGAAATAGCAGAAATCACACAAAATGTACTTGGCTTGATAAAGCTTTTTTTTTTTTTTTTTTTTAATCATTCTACAACTTCAATTTGAAAGTCTCCTTCACAGGCACAACCTTATCTCTTACCCTTTTTTTGTGTGTGTACCCTCAGAGGGGCACGGTTGTTCTTACACTATCGACTGACTAATGTAGGGCACACTTTTTAAAAGGCTCCCTACTTTTAACAGCATGAAGATCCTGCTTTGGAACCGCTGTTCAAGTCAATGGTATGACCTAACATGCAATGCTCCAACTGCTCCTCTACAGCCAACACCTGCCTGACAGCTTCTTCAAAGGCCACTGTCACATTAGTATCATCTTTGGCACTCGTTTCTAGATAAGGGTAATCCCCATTCTCCATGCACCAGGCTTGAGCCTCCTCAGTAGTCACTTGTCTGTCCTCTTTGTCTACCTTGTTACCCAGAACTACAAAGGGGAAGTGCTCAGGGTCCTTCACATCTGCATAGTAGATGAATTCTTTCTGCCAGTTGCCAAGGTTCTCAAAGCTCTGCCGGTCATCCACACTGAAGGTCAAGAGGCAGCAGTCTGCTCCCCTGTAGAAGGGCGTCCTAAGGCTCTTGAAACGTTCCTGCCCTGCAGTGTCCCAGATCTGGAGGGTTACAAAGCGTCCATCTACTTCCAGATCACGGTTTAAAAACTCTACCCCTATGGTGTGAAAAGCTTGGGAGTCAAATTTATTGGTTACATAACGGTTCATAAGTGAGCTTTTCCCAACTCCACCATCACCCAAGAGAATGACCTTTAAGAGCAGGGATTTCCCACTCATTGTTGCAGAATCAGACGGGGAGGAGTTTGTAACCAAGAGAACCTGAAAATAAAAGAAAAAGGAGGGAAAACAGTTAAGCCTGAAGCTGAAATCAACTTCATAGCAAATTTCTCTGAATTATACAAAATTTAACTTCTCTAGATTAATACTTATTGATTGATATGTTGTCTCTCCTCACCTGTAACCCTGGGGCTGACTCCAACAGATTAATACTTATTGATTGATATAGTACAACAGAAGGAATAAAACTTTTTGCACAAAGGAGTAAAAGGTCTTGCTTATTTGAAGTCTCTTGCCTCTGCCAGGAAAATGGCTGAATGCCATAGGTATTGCTATAATACGGTATATGGTATAATATAGAGAGTGCTATCATATGGTTCAGTTCAGACCCTATTCCAGGAGTGATAGCCTAGAACAGGAATGCCATTTGAATGGGTAACCATATTAGCTTCTGGTTTTGACAGTTCCAAATAAAAGACAAATAGCTTGAAAATTATTTGGGGTTTGAAGTTGGCTCCTGAATGGACCCAAGAACTATTGAGGAGAGAAAACTATGTGAGCTGGATTCCTGATTCTGTCAGTAGAGGCCTGGGCCAGAATTAGGCTGGACTCCAGAATTTGGAGGAGAGAAAAAGGTCAAGTTTCTCCAAGCATTTGGCCCATTATACTTGCATTGATATAGGACAGCCTTATAAGTGAAGAATCTCCCATAATCTTTTATTCATGGAATAATGGTACTTAAGTTAATGATAGTTGACTGTTAGCAATTTAACAACTACTATTAAGGATGACAAGGAGCTCTGGTGGCGTAGTGCCTAAGGCATTTGACTGCGAACCAGAAGGTTGGTGGTTCAAACCTGCCAGCCACTCCTTAGAAGGAAGACTGGACAATCTACTTACATAAAGATTTACTGCCTTGGAAACCCAAAGGGGGTCTCTATGAGTCAGAAGTGACTTGATGGCAGTGAGTTTGGTTTTGATTATTAAGGATGACAATCTTGAATAGTTCAGTAATTTTCAGATTTAGGTTCTAATTTCCTAATAGCTATATATGAAAAGTGGGAGCTCTGGTAGTGTAGTGCCTAAGGCATTTGACTTCTAACACAAGGCTGGTGGTTCAAACCCACCAGCCATTCCTCGGGAGGAAGGTTGGGCAATCTACTTCTGTATTGATACTGCCTGGGAAACCCAAGGAGGGGTTGCTATGAGTCAGACCTGACTCGATGGCAGTGAG